TATGAATGAAAAAATAATTTTTCTCTTAATCTTTAATATAATAACCTTTTATGATTATTGCTCTATAAAGAAATACAAATACATTTTAAAAGAGTTTACCTTTCCTGGCGGCTCGCATTTGGGAAAATATACTGAATTTCTCTTTGAAGACGGTCTATTTCTAGGTTTTCTATCCAGTCCTTTAATTTAATTTCCAAAAAGTAGCCTTTTCCAAATTTACTCTTTAAATGCTGTACTGTCCCAATGCATCTGAAGTAATTTTTAAAAGAAAGATAAAAAATGACTTGATAGTTTCAAAGAATAATTTCTCACTTAAATCTCTACCATTTTCTAAAAATATACTTTTACATTTACAGAGAGGTTGCAAAGATAACACAGTATGCCCACACATTCCTCATTCAGTTTCAGTTTTCCTAATATTCTCATCTTCTATTACCATGATACAATTGTCAAAAGTGAGAAACTGGCAGGGTGCAGTGGCTCACGCCTGTAATCCTAGCATTCTGGGAGGCCGAGGCCAAAGGATCACTTGAGATCGGGAGTTCGAGACCAGCCTGAGCAACAGTGAGACCCTGTTTCTACTAAAAATGGAAACAAAAAATTAGCTGGGCATGGTGGTGCATGCCTGTAGTCCCACCTACTCGGGAGGCTGAGGCAGGAGGATCACTTGAGCCCAGAAGTTTGAGGTTCCTATGAACTAGGCTGACGCTACAGCACTCTAGCCTGCGCAACAGAGTGATACTCTATCTCAAAAAAAAAGAAAAAACTAAACTCCAGACTTTATTTGGATTTCACCAGTTTTCCACTGGTGTCCATTTTCTGTTCCAGGATCTATACCACATTGCCCTTAGTTGTCATGCCTTGGTCTCCAGTGGTAGGTAATAGTTTCTTACTCTTTCCTTCTTTTTCATGATTTTGATGGTTTTGAGAAGTACTGGTCAGACGTTTTGGTAGAATGTCCCTCGATTTGGGTTAGTCTGATGTTTTTCTCATTAGACTTGGGTTATAGATTTTGGAAAGAATACCAAACAGCTGAAGTACCCTTCTCATCACATCATATCAGGCAGTACATGGTATCTATACAACAGTGCTTAAAGTATTAATAGTATTTGTCAGGTTTCTCAACTATAAAGTTATTATTTTCCTTTCTGTACTCTATTCTTTAGAAGAGATTAGCTAAATTCAGCCCAAACTTGGGTGGTGGGAGATTAAGCTTTCCCTCCTGGAGGGGGTAATATCTACATATATTATTTGGAATTGTTCTGTAAAGAAGATTTGCCTCTTCTCCCACATTTATCTATTTAATCATTTCTTTAAGTATTAACTCATATATTTATTTTATACTTTGTGTTATAATCCAATATCTAATGCCTAACAATTTTTTAAAATAATATCATACCTAAAAATGATATTCCAAGTTACTGAAATATTAAATCAATTTCAAATTCAAAGTAGCCAGGCACATTTTAGAAAAACTTGACATATGTCCAAGTAATTCTATAGAAAGCTAACTGATTCAAAAACTCAAAAAAAAAAAAATTTTAACATTTAAATTAATACATAGTACTATAAATAAGTTTTTGAAATTGACGACATTTGAAATCTCCTTCCCTAAATGGCATGCTGTTTAGACATTTACCTTAACTGTCCAGACACCATGATAGCCACTCGGTCACAGACAGCCTCTGCCTCCTCCATATAATGAGTGGTTAGAATAGCAGCTCGCTTTTTATTTTTAAATGCAGTTCGAATTGCTCTCCTATAGAACATAAATAAAATAAAAAGAGAGGAACAGGAAAACATGTTTGTTAATGAAAATATTGGGTTTTTTAAAATCCAACTATTTGGTTAATTTGGTTAATTAAAACTTACTAAATACCAATTGCTGTGGTTATTATATCCTGCCCAACTATGATTTTCTATTCTAATTTATTTTCCCTTCATTTTGAAAGCTTGTCAAACGGAAAGAAATTCCATGATTTCAAATGTTTATATAGGTAAAAATTATGATAAACAATGAATTACAAAAATTGATATCTTCTCATGTTATAACAAAAATAGCCATGGAATCAAAAGGAAACTTTGACATGCCTCCAAACCAAACCTTATACTTTATAGACATAGAAATCAAGGCTCAAAGAATTGTTCAACTAATTAGTACTTGAAATTATAGTCATGCACCATAATGACATTTCAGCTAACAATGGACTACATATACAATGGTGGTCCCAAAAGATTATAACATTGTATTTTTACCTTTTCTATGTTTCTATCTGTACCTTTTCTATGTTTAAATACACAAATACTTACCATTGTGACACAACTGCCTACAGTATTCAGTATAGTAACATGTTGTACAGGTTCATAGCCAAGGGGCAATAGGCTATACCATATAGCCTAGGTATGTACTAGGCTAGACCATCTAGGTTTTTTAAAGTATACTTTCTGATGTTTGCTCAACAACGAAATCCACTGACGCATTTCTCAGAACATATCCTTGTCACTGGGCGACCCATGACTGTACTACAAACAGTTCTAACATAAATTCAAGACATTATAATGAGAAATAATTTATATGTTAAATGACTAGGGAAAAACCTTTTAAAAACTATTTGGACAGCAGAACTCTTTGTTGTAATAATTACCCATATCCTTATTTCTGTTCTGGAATATATAAAATATATATAAAATATATATAGTTAGAGACACACACACACACACAGGTCCCGCACACACAACAAGCATTTATTATGAGGACTGGCTCACACAGTTATGGAAGCTGAGTCTCAAGATCTGAGTCGGCACAGCGAGCTGGAGACCCAGGAAAGCCATTGGTGTAGTTCCAGTCTGAGGAACTATAAAAGGAATTATAAAAATAATATAATTTATAATAAAATAATATGTGTTTAAATATGAAAATACTCCAACGCAACTACACTAGAAGACAAAACAAGCTAGTCAGACAAGCTTGCACCTAAATGTGGAATTAGCTAAAATTCTGATGATTCAGGTAGG